GCCAAATCAAGGGCTGCCATCAACAGTGTATATATCAAACTCATGGTGGAAAACAAAACTCGTGTCGTGACCGACGTAGAATCCGCGCTTCTGACCAAGTGCTCAGCTAGACTCGAAACAAATAAATTTTTCAAACAATGGAATTAATTCAAAATAAAAGGTTGCCATGCCATCATACGCCTAATTAAGCATAATTGAGGCGCAAGAATTTGTTTTGATCATTATTTAGCGACGGAAGTAACGAACATTTCATCAAAACAATCAGTTCAAATAGCGTTTTTGCCAAAAAAATGTATCATCCAGAAAAGAGGTCAGACAAATCCACTTTTTAGAGGTACTTGAGATATTGTACCAATTAGAAATTTTACGATATTGTGCAACGGCCCCTTAGGCACTCAGCTGCATCAGGTAATTTCTCGTGATGTGATATCAGGCGACTCGGACTCCATTGATGAAAGTGACAGCGCGGAACCATTAAAATCATGCAAATTACTTATCAGGTTTTTCAAATTACATGCGAACCTCCACAACGGCCACCAGTCGGCAACGGCCTCTGTTTTAGTCCCGACGGACAGTCCATACAGTCGAAAGTGACGTCAATAATTTTAATCTGGTGTGCTTGCTATTGTAAAAGGTCCAACCTCGTACCCAGAGTCCTCGTTCCCTTTGATCAGTAGTCTGGAAACGAGCTATATCCAACAAAAAGGTCCGAATTTTGAAGTCCGAAAATAGCGCCCTTCCGAGTCACCAAACTTGATCCATACCGGGCAACGTTCGACTGTTTCTGTTTTTATTCCTGTGTATTTTTTTTTATTTTATTGCGAATATATATGCTACAATGAGCATTTTTTAAAATAAAAATGTTAAACTCTTCCCTCGAAAAATAGGTGCCATGGTGCCATATTACACCCCTACCTGCCCGNAACCTCCACAACGGCCACCAGTCGGCAACGGCCTCTGTTTTAGTCCCGACGGACAGTCCATACAGTCGAAAGTGACGTCAATAATTTTAATCTGGTGTGCTTGCTATTGTAAAAGGTCCAGCCTCGTACCCAGAGTCCTCGTTCCCTTGATCAGTGGTCTGGAAACGAGCTATATCCAACAAAAAGGTCCGAATTTTGAAGTCCGAAAATAGCGCACTTCCGAGTCACCAAACTTGATCCATACCGGGCAACGTTAGCCTGTTTCTGGTTTTATTCTTATTTATTTTTTTATTTTATTGCGAATATATATGCTACAATGAGCATTTCTTTAAATAAAAATGTTAAACTCTTCCCTCGAAAAACAGGTGCCATGGTGCCATATTACACCCCTACCTGC